GATAATGAGATCCTCAGGCAGACAAGAGCAGTTGCTGTGAGGAGTCCTTTTAGGAAACAGGGTCTTCCCCAGATTTACCTGTTCCTCAACAACTCTTCTGAAACATTTCCAAAATAATTTTTAAATTTCTCTTTCTTGGTTACTTGCTTTAACTATGTAATAATTCTTCTGCCCAAATTTTATTATTTATTATATACTATCTGTCAGGCAGGGTAATAGTTATGTAAAACTTTCCCTTTTTAAACATGAGTTTTTCTTTTGTGAACTTATGTGTTATGATGGCTTAGACAGAACCAAAAAATGTAAAATTCACATAGTGTTGATGAGGGGCTTCTCAGAAGTTTAAATCTTACAAAGGTTGGCTGATTCATAATGTTAGAAGAGGGAAGATTCAGGGAAGGATTTCTATACCTGAGGGAGTAACTTGGCATGATTCAAGAAGAAGTGGGCATCTTCCAGGCAAAGACAATGGAAGAGGAAAGGCATTCCTGCAAGTAAAACTTCAGAGCAAACTCATACAGTAACCAGCCTGGAGTTGACAAGGGCACAATGGATGTAGGCACTTCCTGATGCACACATTTGCATAATGTATGCTTTCTAAAGATGTTTGACCACCAAAGAGTACTCATTACTGATTTTTCAGGCCCCTAGTGCATAGCAACTCTGTGCACAAAATAACATTAACTTTTTTGCTGTTCACATAGTAGAAAGGCTATGAGTCATTAGAACTATAACCAGCCAGGCTCACTTTCTAGCTCTATCACCCACTCGTTATGTGACCAACTTATTAAAACTCTCCAAGCTTTAGTTTCTGTATTTCTGCTAAAGACATAAAAAGTTATGCAATAGAGTTACTGCAAGGATTAAATGATACAATGTTTTGAAAATATTTAGAATAGCATGAGCCAGAATAAGTGTCCACAATGATAGCACTGTCACTACTTTGCTGTTAGTAAAAATGTCAATTTGTGTTTTTTAAATTTAATTAGAGTTCATTGAATTTCATCAATCACACAAACCAACAGCCAGCATCATACTAAATGTCCAAAAATTGAAAGCCTTTACTTTAAAATCAGGCACAAGACAAGGATGTCCTTTATCACCACTCCTATTTAATATAGTACTGGAAGTACTAGCCAGAGAAATTAGGCAAGAGAGAGAAATAAAAGGGGTAAAGATAGGAAAAGAAGAAGTTAAATTATCATTGTTTTCAGATGACATGATACTCTACATAGAAGACCCCCTAAACTCCATTGAAAGACTCTTAGATACAACAAATAAATTCAGTAATGTGGCTGGATACAAAATCAATACTCAGAAATCAATAGCATTCCTATACACGAACAACAAATCACAGAGAGGGAAATAAGAGAAACTACACTCTTCACATTAGCAAGCAAAAAAAAAATGAAATATTTAGGAATTACTCTTATGAAAGATGTGAAAGACCTATACAGTGAAAGTTATAATACACTGAAAAATGAAATTGAAGATGATCTCAGAAAATGGAAAGACATCATTTGCTCATCGATAGGAAGACCAAACATTGTGAAAATGGCCATTCTCCCAAAACTGTTATACAGATTCAATGCAATCCCTATAAAGATACCGTCAACATACCTTACAGATCTAGAGAAATCACTCCTAAAATTCATCTGGAACCAGAAGAGACCTAGAATAGCAAAGGCAATTCTAAGCAACAAAGGCAAGGCAGGAGGCATCACAATCCCTGACTTGAAGTTGTACTACAAAGCAACAGTAGTAAAATCAACATGGTATTGGAATCAAAACAGAGCCGAAGATCAATGGAATAGATTAGAAGATACAACCACAACTACCAACACACTCAACCACCTTATCTTTGATAAAGGAGCCAAGCATGTTCACTGGAAGAACGACAGTCTCTTTAATAAATGGTGCTGGAAAAACTGGCTCTCCATTTGCCGAAAACTAAAGCTAGACCCATGTCTATCATCATGTACTAAATTAAAATCTAAATGGGTCAAAGATCTGAATATTAAAACAGAAACACTAAATCTATTGGAAGACAAATTGGGTAGAAACCTTGAAGACATAGAAGTAGGTACAGAATTCATGAACAGGACTCAAACCACTCGGGAAATACTTCCCAGAATCAATAACTGGGACCACTTCTTATTAAAAAGTTTCTGCATGTCAAAAGAAATCTCCAGCATAGTGAAAAGAAAACCCACAAACTGGGAAAAGATTTTAGTGAACTCTCTCTCAGACAAGGGACTCTTGTCTAAAGCATATAAAGAATTAAAAAAACTCAAACCCCCAAAATTCAAAGATCCAATCCAAAAATGGGCATCTGAGATGAATACGCAATTCTCAGATGAAGAAATGCAAATGGCAAATAAATACATGAAAAAATGTTCATCATCATTGGTCATTAGAGAAATGCAAATTAAAACCACACTGAGATACCATCTCACTCCTGAAAGAATGGCCAGGATCAAGCAAACCACCAACAACAAATGCTGGAGAGGCTGTGGGGAAAAAGGAACTCTCCTACACTGTTGATGCGAGTGTAGACTGGTGCACCCTTTGTGGAGGTCAGTCTGGAGATTTCTCAAAAAGCTGGGATTGGAAGTCCCATTTATTCCAGCTATTCCACTTCTAGGCATATTCCCAGAAGAACTGAAAGCATCATACCACAGTGATATATGTGCACCTATGTTTATAGCAGCACAATTTGTAATCGCCAGATCTTGGGAACAACCCAAGTGTCCATCAACTGAGCAACGGATAAAAAAGTTGTGGTATTTCTATACAGTGGAGTATTATTCAGCTATAAAGAAGGATCACATTGAGATATTTATCAATAAATGGAAGCAGCTTGAGACCATACTCATAAGTGAAATAAATCAATCTCGCATGTGTGAATACCGAATAGTTTCCCTAATGTAAGTAATGATTCAATATATAAAAATATGTGGTAATCATGATTCCCCATTATGTGGCCTTGAAGCCTTATAAAGTTTTTACTTATTAATTGGAAAGGCTTTATTCTGGGCTTCTTGATATGGAAATATTTGAAGCTATAGTATATGAAGTTTTATTCAAATATTTCAAGGAAAAAGACAGACACTATGTTAACTACTATTAAGTTGGGTTATTTGGTGGTGAAGCACTAGGTTGCTAAAACAGTCATGCTTTGACCTGTATTGTTATGTTGTTATGTCCTCTTTTATCTCAGTCTCTCCCTTATTCATTAAAAATTAGTTATTTTTTATGGGATTTTTAATTAAGGGGAAAAATTAAAAAATTACCAAGATATATAATAGTAACTTTTTTGATATCCTATTAACTTGTTTTGAAGTCCTGTAATACTCCCATTATCTTGTTTTAACTGATTAGACTGTGTTCCATTCTGTATGGTAATATCAAGTTTGAGGGTATAGGCAACTACTTTGAAGGCAATAAGATTCACTAAGATGCCCATTCTGGTTTGCCTATTGTCTCCTTTGGAAGTCCTGTAATGTTTACAATGCTTAAGTTTTATTGGTCTTGTTCTCTACTGTTTTGTTCAACTTTATAATATCTAATGAGATAGACAATTCTTTTTAAGGAAACAAGAGACATTGTTGATAACCATTGTTGATAACCTTGTACTCTGTTTTACATCATGTGCTATGTCTATCCTTGGTTTTGACTGACAGCTTTGTTTTGCCATATTTGACTGTATTCTCTCTCCCCCCCAAAAAAGTAATAAGAACTAAGGAGTAGTAAAACCCAAAATGTGTGGATTTTGTTGTAAAAAAAGAGAGGGGGAAAAAAAGAGCTCTAAAGGATACAACAGCAAGTGTGTTTAGGAGTGTTAAATAGCTGACCATATTAATGTTTTTGGTTAGATCATTGAACACAATTGTTTACAGTCTCACTGTTTGAATGTTCACTTTGTATGCTTTGATACTGTGATTTGAGCAACTATCTCTAAGATGATAATATGTAATCTATTAACTGGTGATTTCTTACTGTTTTTTTTTTGTAGTTCTGTATTACTTGTATCCTTACACCGCTTTGTTTTGTTTTGTGTTTTTCTCTGTTTCCTTTTAAATAAAATTTAAAAAATTACTTAGTTATTTTTTATGGCTTTTTTAATTATGGGGAAAAATTAAAAAATTAGCAGGATATATAATAGTAACTTTTTTTGATTTCCTATTTACTTGCTTTGAAGTCCTGTAATACTCCCATTTGACTGATTAGACTATGTTCCATTCTGTAGGATAGTATCAAGTTTGAGGGTATAGACAACTACTTTGAAGGCAATAAGATTCACTAAGATGCCCATTCTGATTTGAATATTGTCACCTTTGGAAGTCCTATAATGTTTACAATGCCTAAGTTTTATTGGTCTTGTTCTCTACTGTTTTGTTCAACTTTATAATATCTAATGAGATAGACAATTCTTTTTAAGGAAACAAGAGACATTGTTGATAACCATTGTTGATAACCTTGTACTCTGTTTTACATCATGTGCTATGTCTATCCTTGGTTTTGATTGACAGCTTTGTTTTGCCATATTTGACTTCATTCCCCCCCCCAAAGTAATAAGAACTAAGGAGTAATAAAACCCAAAATGTGTAAATTTTGTTGTAAAAAACAGAGGGAAAAAAAGTGCTCTAGAGGATACAACAGCAAGTGTGTTTAGGGGTGTTAAATATCTGACCATATTAATGTTTTTGGTTGGATCATTGAACACAAGTGTTTGCAGTCTCACTGTTTGAGTGTCTACTTTGTATGCTTTGATACTGTGACTTGAGCAACTATCTCTAAGACGATAATATGTAATCTATTAACTGGTGATTTCTTACTGTTTTTTATTTGTAGCTCTTATTACTTGTACCCTTACACTGCTTTGTTTTGTTTTTGTTTTTTCTCTGTTTCCTTTTAAATAAAATTAAAAAAAAATTATGTAGGCTGAGTCTGATATATGTCTGCCAGGAAATTTAGTGACATTTTTGCTTTCTTAGCAGGCAAGATCTCAAGTATTATCCAGAGTTTTGGATGTTGCCCATGGATTTATAAAGGAGTTTAATACAGTTGAAATCAAAGGAAAGAACAGTTCTATGAAAGAGACCAGTGAGAGTCAACACATGGCCAAACCTTTAGCTCTGAAAGAAAGCTGCACTGAGGTAAGGTGATATACTACCAAGCAAAAAAGAAAATCAGTCAAAACAAAATGGTGAGAGCAACACAGGGTTTCAAATCAAGTTAATAGGAAATCAAAATGGGTTACTAAAATATATCCTGCTATTTTTTATTTATTTTCCCTTAATTAAAAAGATAAAAATAAAAAATAAGTAATAAAAAAGGAGATTGAGATAAAAGAGAACATGACAACAAAACAGCACAGGTCAGAACATAACAATTTAAGCAACATAGTGTTTCATCACAAGATATCCCAACATAAAAGTAGTTACCATAGTGTCTCTTTCCTTGAAATATTTGAGTACAACTTCATATACTGTAGCATCAAACATATCAAGACAATGTAAAGCCATTCAACAGAATGACAGGATTACAGGGTATTTAGAACCGACTAACAGAAAATAAACCATGGTTTCTATATTATCTCCTTGTCTATAAAAGTTTTTGTTTATATTATCACATATAATAAAATCCAATAAGACACAACATGATAAAACTGATGGAGACAGAAGAGAAAAGGTTGGTAGGACTTCAAAACAAGATGGTATTAAATTAGCACTAGCTATTATGATGTCTTGTTTTCTCCAAAATAGCTGTTCATACTATCACAGACAATAAAGTTAAACAGCCAAGAATAAAAACATTACAATTGATGAATGAAAACATTATAAGGCTTCAAAGCAATATAATGGGGAATCATGATTACCACATATTTCTATGTATTGTTATCATTTCTTACAATAGGGAAACTATTCGGTATTTATACATGTGGGTTTGATTTATTTCACTTATGAATATGGTCTCAAGCTGCACTCATTTATTTATAAACATCTCAATGTTATCATTATTTGTAGCTGAGTAGTACTCCATTTTATAAAAATGCCCCAACTTTTTTATCCATTCTTCAGTTGATGGACACTTAGGTTGTTTCCAAGATCTGGCTATTACAAATTGTGCTGCTATAAACATGGGTGTACATATATCTCTGTGGTACGATGCTATCACTTTTTCTGGGAATATGCCTACAAGTGGATTAGCTGGAACAAATGGGACCTCCAATCCCAGCTTTTTGAGAAATCTCCCAGACTGACTTCCACAGTGGTTTCACCAGTCTACACTCCCACCAATAGTGCAGGAGAGTTCCTTTTTCCCCACAGCCTCTCCAGCATTTGTTGTTTTTGATCCTGGCCATTTTTTCAGGAGTGAAATGGAATCTCAGTGTGGTTTTAATTTGCATTTCTCTCATGAGTAATGATGATGAACATTTTTTTCATGTATTTATTTGCCATTTGTATTTCTTCATCTGAGAAGTGTGTATTCCTCTCAGATGCACATTTTTGGATTGGGCCTTTGAAATTTGGGAGTTTGAGTTTTTTAATTCTTTAGGTATTTTAGACAGAAGTCCTTTGAGGGACAGTTCACTAAGACTTTTTCCCAATTTGTGGGTTTTCTTTTTATTATAATGGAGATTTCTTTTGCCATGCAGAAACTTTTTAATAAGAAGGGATCCCAGTTATTGATTCTGGGAAGTATTTCCTGTGCAGTTTGAGTCCTGTTCATGAATTCTCTACCTATCCCTATGTCTTCAAGGTTTTTACCCAATTTGTCTTCCAATAGATTTAGTGTTTCTGTTTTAATATTTAGATCTTTGATCCATTTAGATTTTCAGTATGTGATGATTGGCATAATTCTAGTTTTAGTTTTCAGCATATGGCCAGTCAGTTTTTCCATCACTATTTATTAAAGGGACTGTCCTTCCAGTGAATATGCTTGGCCCCTTTTTCAAAGATAAGGTGCTTGAATGTGGGTTTGTTGTTGAATATTCTAATATGTTCCATTTATCTTCAGCTCTGTTTTGATTCCAGTACCATGTTGATTTTACTACAGTTGCTTTGTAGTATAACTTCAAGTCAGGGATTGTGATGCCTTCTGCCTTGCCCTCGCTGCTTAAAACTGTCTTGGCTACTGTAGGTCTCTTCTCACTCCAGATGAATTTAGGAGTGATTTATCTAGATCTATGAGGTATGATCATGGTATTTTTATTGGGATTGCAGTGAATCTGTATAACAGTTTTGGGAGAAAGGCTATTTGTACAATATTCATTCTTCCAATCCATGAGCAAGGGATGTCTTTCCACTTTCCGAGATTCTCTTCAATTTCTTTTTTCAGGGTATTATAATTTTCCTTGTATATGTCTTTCACTTCTTTGTGACAGTAATTCCTAAATATTTCATTTTTTTGGTTGCTAGTTTGAAGGGTGTGGCTTCTCTTATTTCTCTCTGTGATCTTGTTGTTAGCGTATAGGAATGCTACTGATTTTTGAGTATTGATTTTGTATCCAGCTACCTTGCTGAATTTTATTATACTTAAGATTCTTTCAATGGAGTTTTGGGGTTCTTCTATGTAGAGTATCATGTATCTGAAATAATGATAATTTAACTTCTTCTTTTCCTATCTTTATCTCTTTTATTTCTCTCTCTTATCTAATTGCTCTGGCTATTATTTCCAGTAGTACATTAAATAGGAGCAATGACAAGAGACCTCCTTGTCCTGTGCCTGATTTTAAAGTAAAGGCCTTCAATTTTTGGCCATTTAGTATGATATTGGCTGTTGGTTTGTGATAGTTGTCCTTTATTATATTGGGGTAAAGACCATCTATTCCAATTTTCTATAATGTTCTTATCATAAATGAATATTAGACCATATCAAAAGCTTTTTCTGCAACTATAGAAATGATCACGTGATGCTTACTTGCCCTTTTATTGATATGGTGAATTACATTTATTCATTTGCGTATGTTGAACCATCCCTGCATGCCTGGGATGAATCCCACTTGGTCATGGTGTATAATCTTGATGATTTGCTGCATCCTATTTGCCAATATTTTATTGAGGATTTTTGTATCTGTGTTCAGTAGGGAGATTGGTCTGTAGTTCTCTTTTTTAGTTGGGTCTTTTTAAGGTCTTGGTACTAGAGTAATATTTGCTTCCAGGAATGACTTAGGAAGGGTTGCTTCCCTTTGAATTTCATTGAAGAGTTTGAGGACTGTTGGCATTATGTCCTCTTTGTACTTCTTGTAGAATTCTGCAGTGAATCCGTCTGGGCCTGGCTCTTCTTGGTAGGTAAGGACTTAATTACCTTTTCAATTTCATTAATAGAAATTGGGTTATTCAGCAGTTTTACATCTTATTGACCTAGCTTTGGTACTTCACATGTTTCTAGTAACATATCTATTTCTTCTGTGTTATCAAACCTATGAGAGTAGAAGTTTTTGAAATAGATGTTGATGATCTTCTGTATTTCTATAGAGTCTGTAGTGATTTTGCCTTTTTCATTTCTTGTTGCATGAATTTTAGCTTTTTCCCCCTTTTTTACTAAGGTGGCTAGGGGCTTATCAATTTTATTAATTTTTTTCAAAGAAACAACTCTTTGATTCATTGGATTGTTTTTTTAGTCTCTATTGCATTAATTTATCCTCTGATTTTTATAATTTCCTCTCATTGTTTGGCTTTGGGCTTGACTTGCTCTTCTTCATCTAGATATTTCAGGTGTAACATCAGGTTTTTATTTGTATTTGTTCTGTGTTCTTGATATGGGAACACAATGCAATAAATTTTCTTCTGAGGACAGCTTTCATTGCATTCTACAGATTTCAGTAAGTTGTATTTGTATTTTTGTTTACTTGTAGATATTGTTTAATTTTCTCTTTAGGTTCCCCTGTGACCTCCTAATTATTCAAGAGTGTGTTATTTAGTTTCCATGTGTTTGTGGGAGTTTTGCACTATCTGTTATCATTAATTTCTAATTTCATGGCACTATGGTCTGATAGCATACAAAGGATAATTTCAACTCTTTTGCACTCATTTAAATATGTCTGTGAGCTAATATATGGTCTCTTTTAGAGAATGACCCATGTACGGCTGAAAAGAATGTGTATTCTGATGTTGTTGGGTGGAATACTCTGTATTATGTGTATCATGTCCATTTGTTCTCGGTGTGTTTCATTACTGTTATTGCTTTGCTGCTTTTCTGTTTGGTTGATTTGTCCCTTGGTGTCAATGGTCTGTTCAAGTCTCCTGGTATAATTGTGTTGCTGCCAATTTGGTTATTTATTTCCATTAATACTTGTTTTATATAACTGGGTGCTATCAAATTTGGTGCATATATATTTAAGATAGTTATCTCTTCCTCTTGAAATTTTCCCCTAAGCAATATAAAATGACCTTTTTTTATCTCTTCTGATCATTTACAATTTGAAGTTCACATTGTCTGCAAACAAAATAGGTACTCCTGCTTTTTTGTTTTGTTTTGTTTGGTTTGGTTTGGTTTTGTTTCCTGTTGCATTGTTTTCCATCCTTTGAGTTTCAGTCTGTGAGTATCATTTTGGGTTAGATGAGTTTTTGGAGACAGCATATGGTTGGATTTTGTTTCTTTATCCATTCTTTTAATTGGTCTGTTTCTTTTAATTGGTGCATTGAGTCCATTTAATTAAAGGTTATAACTGTTACGTGTTGCCTTATTGTTGATGTGTTATCTTTGTACTGTTGCATCATTATCTTTCTGTTCTATTTAATTGTCTGCTTTGCTTACTGGTTTTTTCCTAAGTGTATCTACACTGTCTTTTATTATTCTTTGCAGGGCTGGCTTGGTGATCATGAAGTTCTTCAGCTGTTCTTTGCCATGGAAGTATCTTATTTCTCCATCCATTTTAAAGACAGTTTTGCAGAGTAAATAATTCTAGGTTGGAAATCATTTTACTTTAGGTTCTGAAATACTTCACTCCATGCTCTTCTTGACTTCATTGTCTGTGTTCAGAAGTCTGCTGTAATTCTGATAGGCTTTCCTTTAGAGGTGATCTTTCTTTTCTCTCTGACAGCTTTTAATGTTCTATTCTTATGTTGGATGTCTGGGATGGTGATTATAATATGCCTGGGTGTAGCTTTATTTTGGTTATGGTTATATGGAGTTCTCTGTGCTTCACTAA